TTAACCTCACAGGTACCTACCTGACCCTAAAACTAACCTAAACTCAATTCACACCTTGGTCCTAAACACAACCCTCCCACCCAAAATCAGCTGCTGAAGTTGTGGGGACCGGGCTCTGGTCCCCACAAGGAGCATCCGGTCCCCACAAGGCTGCATTTTCCTGAGAAACTGTCCCCACCAAGTAGCAAGAACAAGGCCACACACACACACACACACACACACACACAGTGTTACATGTGTATGTACGATAAAGTTTACATGTGACTTTTAAAGGGATCTCCGACTACTTGCACCTGATGGCCTTGATTTTTTTTTCTACATCTAATTACCGGTACATAAAAAAAAATGTCCGTTTATTACATTTTTCACTTAGGCACATTGTCATTTTGTTACTGACTCAATGCATCTTGGGTATGATGATGATGATGATGATGATGATGATGATGATGGGTTACAGTTGAGACTCAAACACAATAGGTATAACATTCAAGCTGAATAGAGTGGTAAGCATCATCATTTACCCAGCATGCTTTGCGCTGTGAACAACAAAACCTCTGTGTGACAGTATATTTTTTAAATTTATAGTAACTAAACAGCCCACAGTATTTTTGCAGTCAAGTTTTTTTATAGTTTTATATAAGTAAATGTTTATCAAATAATGTCTAATGGTACGACTAGTTGGGGTTCCCGTCACCACATTGTTTCATCAGTTTATGAGTAGGTTTGTCTCCCCCATGGCAAACATCACAAAGCTCTGGAAACTTTACTGACAGCAAAAAATAAATGAAAACAAGAAGCTGTAAAACAAGTTTAGGCATCCTACCGCTCAGAAGTAATTATTTTATTATTTCTAGTTTAATTGCCGTTCCATTGATCTATTACTGTCAGTATGAGTGACAGAAACCCACAAATCAGAGTTAACCATGCAGAGAATTTCTTTTCTTAATGTTGGCAGAAGCAGAAGCGGGGCAAAGAGTTCATATTTTTCTATGTGTATTTTGAGCTCTTGTGTAAAACCAGTTTCTCGTGGGCAAAAGTTTGTACTCTTCCTGTCGCACCGCTAAACTTTTGATGAAAGTTATAACTCATCGTATCCTGCTGTCAGAAGTGACAGGTTCGGTCTCTTTTTTGTGTTTTCGCTGAGGTTTATAGCTACTCAGCTCATTTGCAGATAATAGAATAAAGCCTGGTCACGAGGAAAAACAAATATCGGCAGTGTTTATGGAAAATGTCCGTCTTTGATTCCACCTCAGATCCAGAGCCAGGTGACGCCCCATGCCATTGTGGTGCTGCCCAGGACCGACGGGATGGAGATGCTGCTGTGTTACGAGGACGAGGGCGTCTACGTCAACACGTACGGCCGAATCACCAAGGATGTGGGGCTACAGTGGGGAGAGATGCCTACCTCTGTTGGTATGTCAGCTAGCTCTCTTTTAAAGGGATCCCCGATTAGTTGTAACATTAGACTTTATTTGATAAAATATATTTTAACTATAAAATAAAGACTGTAAAAATACTGTAGGCTGTTCAGTTTTTATACTTTTTAAACCAAATTTTAAATAATATATTTTAACACGGACGGAGCCATTTTATTTACACACAAAGCATTCTGGGTAAATGATGACGTGGAT